CTCTACTACCTTGCTGTTCCCAACTTTATCTTTCTTGAACTATTGATTTCAGATCTGAGATATCCTGCTAACCTGGTTGACCACCTGCTGTCTGCTAATGCACCTGAGAATATGGTATGTTGGCTGTAGGGAGACTGTTTCTAGTACTACATCTGGGTTGTCCCTTAAACCAATATTCCTCACACTGTTTTTAGGTCCAGACTCCTATAAACCAGACTATCCCAAGCCAGGTCTCGAGACCATCATTGATTCTTTTGCTTAAAAAACTAACAATGACTCACTTCTTAATTCTTTACAATACATTTAAAAACAAATACAAAAATGTTTAAAAGAAAAAAAATATGTATTTGTGAGAGTTGAAAAAAACTTGTGGCATAGGTAACTTCCTGATTTTCATCCACTCAGAAGTTAGATTAAGCCTACAGTGAAATAACAGTAAGTAATATACTTCCTAACTTGGACATTGAAGACAAACAAGTAACATTTTTTAATTTTAAGTATTAAAAAATGTTTCTGATTTAAATAGTTACGTAAAATGTATATGTTTCATAATACCTACAATGTATTAACAGTATTTACTTTTTAAAAAAAAATATAGCCATGGACTGATTTCATTCATTCATTCATTCATTCAGCACTTCATGTTTACCAACAGGTGCATGCCACTGAACTAAATCCCTGCTCCTTTACTTCCTTTTTTTCCTCTTACTTCCTTTTTAATTCCATCAGAATTTCATAATTTTCTCCAAGGCTTAGATGGTTACTAGTTCGAAAAGAATTTCCCAATTCATAAATTTCTTTTCACAACTGTGTTGTTAGACTGAATTCACAAACTTGAGTTACAAGTAACAAGTTAACTCTTATACTTCAAAAGCACAAGCCACATTTTAAAAAGTCTCCATATCCACACCTCAGCCTAGTGACATTAATTTTGAGTGTTCTCTTGTTTTGGGGAACTTAGGACAGTCTCATACCTTGAAAACTATCTGTACCTATTTATCTTATTTATCTAAAGTAAAGAGTCCCAGAGCAGAAGCCAAAAGTAAAAATAATTTCCTTAATCTTTAAAAAAATACAGTAGGGCTTTTTTTTATAGTGAGACTATTTTAAAATTTCTTTCACTCTGATAAAAATTCAGGTCTTTTGAATCAACTTGTTATTTCATCTTCTATTTTTTAAGGAACTATATGCAAACTAAATTAAAGGATAAAATTAAAATTGTTAACTTCTGCCTTCTGTATTCCATTAATGACATGCGGAGTGTTTTAAGTGGATACCTCTTCTGGTTCCTAATAATAAAAAGCACCAAAGCATATCTCAAGCAGAAAACTAAACATGCTTTCCAGATGGACTCATAAGGTCTGTGAGGCGGTCAGTCATTATGTTACAATAATGATACTTAACAAATTGCAAGAGGGCCAGCAAGCTAGCTCGGCAGACTAAGGGCCTGCTTTGGCAAGCACAGAGATGAGGGTTCAATTCCCGGTCCTACATGCGCACTGGCCCCACCCCCAGGGCATGCTGAGCCAGAGAAGGAGTCCAGATGTGGTGGCGTACACCTGTAACTCCAGTGGGCAGGAGGCTGAACACAGGAGGATCACTACGAGTCTGAGCTACGTAGTGAGACTCTGTACCAAATAAATAAAACGAAAAAAAGTTGCAAAATCTCCAAAATTAAGTCTCAGATTTACTGTTATTTAAATCATTCTACTAACCAAGTCTCTGATCTTAAGTTCCACTATTCATATTTAGCCATTTATTTAAAAAGACAAGATGGTAAAATAGCTGAAAACAAGATTACTATACAAAAATTAGTCAATGACAGTCATTGAAAAGAATCCTGAGAAAAACTCTCTTATTTATAGTTATGTATAACCCTTTTATACATTCATAAATTCCACTGAAACCAAAGAAATTTTAAAATAAGTATAGTAAAAACATTTAAAATGCATAGTATTTGACCTAACAATAAATATACAAAATGTATAAAGAAAAGAATTATAAAATTACTGAGAATTATAAAGATGTAAATAAGGAAATACATGTACTGCGTTCTTGTACAGGCCTCACTGGATATATGTTAATTTTTATCAAATTAATCTATACAATCAAGAAATTTCTATTTAACAAATTTTTGGTAAAATACACAAATGCCTCCAAAATTTTACTTGAAAGATTATCTATTAAAAAAAAAAAAAAAAAAGTTCCAAAATGAGACTGCTAAGAGTTATGCCTTTCTGGATAGCAAACCATAGCACAAAACTACAGCAATTAGGGCTGGAGAGATGGCTCAGTGGTCTAAAGCACCTACTTGGAACTAGCTTGGCAAAGCATCAGGGACCGCGGTTCAATCCCCCAGCACCACATGCCAGCCAGCCCCGCCCCATGGTGGGCTGAGCTGGCCACACACACACACACCACACTCTCTCTCTCTCTCTCTCTCTCTCTCAAATAAATAAAAAAAAATTAAAAAAAAAAAACTACAGCAATTAGATTAACTCTTATCTTGTGAAGTAATGAAATATTAAACTAATGATACCATATTGGATAAGATCAATAGTTATTAAACGAAATAAAACTACACGAAAGGTCAAAGGACATGTTAATCTATAAATATGTCTAACATAAGACAATACTCTAGGGGCTGGTGAGATGGCTCAGTGGTCTAAGGCACCTACTTAGAACAAGCTTAGCTAAAGCACAGTGACCGCGGTTCAATCCCCCAGCACCACATGCCAGCCAGCCCCGCCCCCTGGTGGGCTGAGCTGGCCGCACACACACAAAAAAAAAAAAAAAAAAAAAAAAAAATTAAAAAAAAAAAAGACAATACTCTAAAAAGGTAAACATTTTCCAATTTTTAAAACACAATTCCATCATCAAAACAAAGGATATGAATATAAATTTTAGTATCTGTTAAACACATGAAAAGATACTCATCTTCAGTAAGGAAAATAAATTTGAGCAGTGAGAATTTTTTACCTACTAGGCTGGCACAGATGGAAAAGAACATAAAACACATTGTATTAGTGAGTCTGTGAAGAAATGGACATTTGCATAATAGTAGTAAACAATATAAATTGTTGCAGCATTTTTGGAAGGCATTTTAGCAGTGAATTGAGAATTTCAAAATTAAAATTATGTATTTCTTGATGCCATAATTTTACAAGCTGGAATTCATCTACAGAAAGATATGCACAAGTCTGGACAGATGTGTACATATATAATAATGTTCACAAATCTTTCAACATGAAATTTTTAAAAACTCAATGGCCTAAACAAAGTATAGTTAAATAATAGCACTTGCACACTATGAAACAGAATATAACTGTTGTAAAAGTTACATAGCTGTACTGTATTGATTTGAAAAGGTTTCTAATAATATATTGTACTGTGATCAAACTATTTCACTTAAAAAAAAAAAAAAAGAATTCAGAGGACAATGTGCCAAACACGATCCATACCTGGACATGTAAAAACTGAGCAGCTTACTAACTCAATACTTTGTGTCCTTTCAATGAGCCTGTATTTTTTTCATGTTAAAGTATAAATCAGAGGGGAAAGAGTTGATACTAAATATGAAATACTATATTCAATGTGGAATTTTTTAGAGGATTTCTTTCTTTGTTCTGAAGATTGAGTGGCATACCTTCTGGCTTGCCTGGGCAGCACTGAGTGAAAGGGAATATTCTATATATTACAGTTAATGTACATAATAAATCTTCCTTAATTTTATAATTTTTTAATGAAGAAGACAAACAGCCCACAGGCTGTTGGGTGGGCACACCTGCCTAAAGGACACATAGAGATAAAAAAGCAATGAAAGTATTTTGCACTTTTCAAAGTAAATATATTTTCTAAGAAGTTATCAGATACACTGGACTCTGAAGACAAAAGATGAATAAGGCAAGGCCTGCAAGAGAAAAGACCTGCATACAGGTAAGCAATTCCAACAAAGTGTTCTCAAGTAACTGTGACAGACGTGTGTTCAGGGATAAAAAGTTAAAAGGAAGAGCTGGGGAGGGAGCTTAGTGGGACAAGCCTCTGCCTGGTAAGTATGAGGTCCTAAGTCCGACTCCTGGTAACAAAACAAAACAAACTGAAGAGGAAAAGATAACAGAAAAGACTTAGGCTTATGCTTGAAAGAAAACAAGTGCAAGTTTACACACACACACACACACTGCCCTGTACAGTGTACATGCACTTAACATTTCACATATACCATACACACATACACTAAAACTGAGTATTTCTACAATGCTATAAAGATAAAACAGTAAGAATTTTTAATATCAATCAAACCAAAACAATGTTGAAAGCTATAGTAATTCTTCTAATATCTATCAACTATAATTTTATTTTCTATCTTAGTTGAAAATTTTTCTAAGTTTTTGTTATTTTTTTATCATTTTTTTGTTTAAAAAAGTCTACAAGAGGGGCAGGGGAGATGGCTCAGTGGAATAAGCGCTTAGCTGACAAGCGCAAGGGCCTGAGTTCAATCCCTGGTTTCGCAAAAAAAAAAAAAACGTCTACAGGGCTGGCAAGATAGCTCAGTAGTCTAAAGTGCCTGCTTAGGCAAGCTTAGGCAAAAAGTGCAGGGACACGGTTCGAACCCTGCCTGCCGTGTGGGCTGAGCCGGCCACAAAGAAAAGTCTACGAAAATGTTTTTAAAATCAGCATGTCTTCATTTTATTTTATTTCTTAAACATAAACTGTCTTAAAAACACAAAGATTTAATATTTCTGCTGTACAAATCCTGACATATTTCTAAGTTACCTTACACTGTAGTTTTAAAGCTCAAACACGTTTAACATAAAATACTCCCACAGAATAAACACAGCCTCCTTTCCTGAAAGCTGCGTTTCGCTAACACCCGTGTGGTTTTAACCTTGCACTGCAGAAGTCCATCTCTTTTCCTATAAGCCGGTAGCAAACTTACGTCAAAGGAACAGCAACACGCCACACACACACGCGCGTGCGCGCAGACCAAGGCATGGGCTTACCTCATGGAGTGTGAGATGTTTTCCATCCTTTCTCTTAGAGTCAAATCTGCCATATATTGCACTGTATTTCCGAATTTCCTCCTCTTTGTGGGGATCATCATCACTCATCTCAAAGATGTGACCAATCATTTTAGCCAACTTCTTGTTGCTTTTTAGCAGTTCTTTCACTTCATTCAAGTCACTTTTTGGCAGGGTGGGAGCCAAGCGCTCCACACACTCAGCCACAGAGAGCGCAGCAGCAGCATCCAGGGCCTCGCTGCTCTCCTTTGGGGACGCAGGGGAGCCAAGGTCTGCTGGGGAGAGGCTGTGCTCGCTCTCCGTAGCGTGGTGGCCCTGCCAGAGCCGGGACTCACCAACACTCTGCAGTGCTAAGCTTCCCACCACGTCTGACTTCCCCTGCCCCAAGCTCTGCACACAGGTGGTAGCAGCACATTTGGGGATTTTTAAATGCGGTTCCCGGGCATTGCTACTCCTTTCGTAACTGCTGCAGGATACTCCCAGCCACGTAGGTGATCCCTCTGGTAGTTTATAGATAGGTATGCTACTGACAGGAAGGGAGGTCAGCGGCTGATTGAAGAGACCAGGGTTTGTAACCCAGTCTCTCAAAGCCTTCTGTAGCCTTCTAACATGAAGGGGCTTGCTGGCCATGCCCACCAGTGCCATGATTTCCAAAAACTCCTCTTCTCCAGCTTCACAGAGCTGCTGGACGTCATCACCACCTTGTTGGATAAAGGCATCAAAATAAGAAAGCAGATTGGCTTTTTGCAATATTCTATACAGCTGCAACTCCCCCAGGGTCCTGGGTAAGGCCGCAGCCATTACTGTGGATAGAGTTAACCTACAAAAAGAAGAGAGAAAAACTCATTACACTTCTTTTAAACTTCTGAAACCAAGTTTCAGACACTACAAGGTTTAGGAGCGCAATGCAGGAAAAACAAGGAGCATCTGCACAGTAACAGATTGTTAAGAAACATTCTCTCTATATATAGCCTTTACCTTACTTTATACTTCTAATAACTGCAAAGGCCGGTAAGGAAACTGACCTATTTCCTAAAGGAGAAGTAAGCAGAAAATACAGGTTCTCAGGGGTCTATGTCCCATATTTTTAGCTATGCACTTTGCTGCTTCTGTAGTAAAGACAAAGAAGTGGAGCAAAGATAATCAAAATTAGTGGACAGCTACTATTCACTGAAGACTTACCCTGTGTCTAGCAATAGGATAAAGACTTTACATTATGCCTAGTCTTCACATTAGCCACCGTGTGGTAAGTGCATATACTCCCACCTTGTAAAGAAAAATTAGCAATACTACCCTTGCAGGAGAAGGAAGATCAATTTTGGTAAACTGCAGGCTAAAGAAAAAAGGGTAGTACATTTAAGAACCAAGAAAAAAGCAGCGAAACGTCAAACAAGTGATAAGACTTGTGTTCCCTTTGGTGTAAGTGATAAAGAGGATACAGACACCATTTATTGATAGTTTGGTTTCAGGAAGTGTTTTAAGTGATTATGGAATTACACAAGTGTCTAGAACTCTGACTGGCATCGAGGATACAGAAAACTCAGGCTGACAGATCCCTTTTCAAACAGGTGGCACTCAAATGTGGCTCAGGGTGCAGTGGTTAGGCAGAATGGTCCTGCATACAAGAAAACAGAATGAACTCCACATATGCCTCAGGGACGGACATGCAGACAAAGTCAGGCCTGCGGGCCTTCCAGAACAGGAGCAGAGAGCCAAGAAATAGCCAAGAAGAAAGATGCTTCTAAAGCCCAAGCAAGATAGACAACACAGGGAAGAATATCCAGCAAAGTACTTTTTGATCTCTTAACAGTCCTTAAAAGCTGTTCAAGGTTGCCTGGGGAGACTTCCCACATACAAAGAAGTTAGCCAAGCACTTCCATTTAAGAGAAACAAATTAACTTGTAATCAATCCCCTCCTAGGATTAAAAAGATTCTGTAGTCCTCTATGGAAGAAATTATGGAAGGCTAAGGGAATACATGTATCACAAAAAAATGGATGCCTGTTTTCAACTCAAACGGTATGGAACAACAGTTAGCTAAGAAATAATGTAAGCAGAGGGCTATCGGCACACCCCTGAAAGCCAGAAAGGCACCAATGTTTTCAAATGCCTCCAACCATATTCAAAATTCTGGTCTCAGGCCCCAGTTGGAGAATGAACGCTAGGGACTAACTAGGGAAGGAAGCCCCTGCTTGCAGGAACTGTTCTTCAAACTGTTTTGATCAACTAGTCACCCCTTAAAATGTATGGTTATTCTTGTAAATAATAACTATTTAGGCTAAACAATAACCCTGTAGGCTAATACAGGCAAAGCCTGAAGACTTTCTAAGAGACAGAGAAGAAGATGTAACTTCACCATCGGTGCTTTTACAAAATACTTTCCCAGGTCCCCGAGCTTCTACTCAGGAGACTCAAAGAAGGCAAACTGCACAAGATCCCTATTCAGTACACTCCCCAGGCCACACAAACTCAGCAAGCTCCATGGCCATCTAGGTTCTGCAGGTCCACCTTCAGGTTTATGTCACCTCATTTCTCTGGACAAAAACATTTTTCATCATCCACATCACCCAAATAAGGGTTTGCTCATTCTTCTAATTGAGGGAGAGTCCACTGTCCAGCTGGATGGCGCCCTCAAAAACACAGCCCCTCTGGCCTGCCGTGCCGGCCCTGCTGGGTATGGTGGCATACACCTGTAATCCCAGCACTTGGGAGGCTGAAAACAGGAGAATCACTATGAGTCTGATCTGTTTAGTGAGATCCTGTAGACCCTGTACTAAATACATTTTTTTAAAAAAAACTTAAGTGTGTATTAAACTATGCTATCTCAAACAGAAGGACTGAGGTAGAATAAGGAAATCTGTTTTCTCATCAGACATGACGTGCTTTCCAACTAGAACACAGGAAAAAATACAGATGTACACGTAAGTATTCATGTACACACAATCTTTTATAAGAAGGCTGTAGCTCTGCAAGGTTTATGGAGTAATCAGTTAACTTACCATATCTACCCACCCCACTGTTGAACAGAAGGAACACTATATGACAAAATCTAGAAGAATTTTTAAATCTTTATATAAACAATAAGAAAATTTACACAGTGTACCTGTATTTCTATGTTAGACAAATATAAAAGAGAAACATAAAGATAACTAAAAGAATCAAATTTAGATTTTAGCCTGAGATAAGGCAATGATTTCAGAAAAATAATAAATCCCAAATTTTACCTTTTCTCTTTATTCAAAAAAAAGAAAACTAACTCCCTAGGTTTCAAAGAGAAAGCCTTCATGTACTGGTATCATATAACAGCATATCTATGCTTAAAGCAACACAATTCACCATTTTGGAAGTGGCCTACATGTCCAGCAACTGATGAATGGATTTAAATGTGATACTTTAAACATCTTAGAGTACTACTCTACCATAAACAAAGGTAAATTTTAGTCATCTGTAGAAAAATGGATACATCTTAACATAATGTTAAGTGAAGTAAATCAGATACATAAGCTTAAATATCACCTTTTCTTTTATATAAGAAACCCAAATTATAAATAAATAGCAAAATAAAAGACAGGGGCTGGAGAGATGGCTCAGTGGAATAAGCACTTCCCTGGTAAGCGCAAGGCCTGAGTTTAATCCCCTGTTCTGCCAAAAAAAAGAAAAAATAGACACCAAAATAAAAAAGACAGACAAGAGGAAATAAGGAGCTAGAACTTTCTTAAATGGTATGGGGATCAAGGGATGAAGGGAACAGTCAGGCATATGGCTCAGCAGCGTAAGTGCCAGCCTGGCAAGTGCAAGGTCCCAAGTCTGATCCCCAGTACCAAAAAAACCAAAAAAACAAAAACAAAACACAGAGAGATAAAGAAATGGAGGGAAAATGGAGGGGAGGAAAGAGGATGAAAAAGAAATGAAGCTGTGTTGTGTACATGTACAAGCTCCACATGAGGAATGTGAACATTAGGTGCTGCAAATGTGCTAATAAATATTTTAAAAGGAAAAAGTAGTGTTTTCCAAAGGTCTCAAAAATTAAAAAAGTAGGGGGCCTGCCCCTTAGCTCAGTTCTTTAACTGGCTGCTTCAACAAAGCAGTCAGGCTCAGGTTGCTGTGGTTCGATCCCCACAACACAAGACAGCCAGTCATGCCTTGAAGGCATTCAGAGAAAAAAAAAATTAAAAAAGTAGTTATGAATCGGTTTCTGTAACAATCGACAAGCCTAAGTGTACACTTCTACAGTCAAGACAACAGATAAAACACAAACACAAGCCAGGCAACTATTCAGAGTCCCAGGAGGGTTTCTAACGATTCACTATGGGGAAGGAGTTTTCCCCCCAAGCTTTTGCATCAGGAGAATGTTTCAGTTTCTTCTCAGAGCCTGCTGTGATAACTTTAACACCCACTACTTCATACATTAAACTGATTCTACTTAAAAGGAAACTTTCATAAAATGAGATTTTACATTTTCACAAAATCTGTAACTATTCATGTTTCTACATGAATGTCAACCCCCATCTTTCTGATCTGAATACAAAGGGTCCTAGCACAACACTACCTATAAACGGCTCATCATGCAAATTCACTCAGCTGAATACTGCTGGTACCTGGCTTTTCCAAGATCCTAGAACATCATGGGGCATCTGACCTTTTCATGAATTCCCCTATTAAGAGGAACCAGTTACTCATTCCTGCTGGCTCAAAAGATAATCTAAGGCCCTACTGTCCCTGTACAGCAAACCTCCACTTAACACCAGCTTAAACATTCCCCACCCTGGCCAGTCCAATAAAAAGAACCCCAGTATCAGGAAAAGAATTAAACAACAATAGATCAGTCCAAGACCACTTCTTGTTTCTGATGGTAATAAACTATTCCAAAACCTTAGAAACTGTATCTCACTCTAGCCCTTACAGGGTAGCATTTAGTCCTCTGGCAAATTTAAACTATGCTAAGTAAAAAAAATAAGAAGCTGTCTGATTCAGAAACTTGTACTGGTCAACTCCTGCTCCATTATGGGAAACCAAAATTTCCTGACATTTTCCAAGAGATGTGATGACTGGGTAGGGCAGAGTCCTTCAATGGTCACCAGGCAAAGGAAATCAGTCCTTCAAATCTGCCTAACCTCCCCACCCCATTCTGCCTTCAATAAAAATCTCAAGGAACTACTGAGTTTACTGAGTTACCACTTAGGGTAGGGTAGAGGTCATTTGCAGGCACTAGGGAAAAGAAAAATCACCTCTTCAATCCTGCTTCCATCCGGCCTCTCTAGCCCCCCAACATTTATTAAAAAACTTAACTCAGACTAAGCTTCTGAGTCTCTTGGCTGCATACCACCACTCCTTGAAATGGCTTTCAATTGATTTTGGCAACATGTTGTTTTGCCTACCTAACCTTACTATATTTAAGGACTAAAATTCCTCAAGGTTTTCCTTTTTGCTGGTGCTTTTCAAGATGCGATCTTGTTATATAGCCCAGGCTGGTCTTCAACTCACAAGTTGAAGTGATGCTCCTGGGTCCAAGCAACCTTCCTGACTCAGCATCGCAAGTGCTGAGACTATAGGGATGAACCACTGATTCCAGCTGCCAGTGTTTGACACTAGAGGTCTTTCCTACTGTCTGTCAGCATTCTTCCTCCACCCCTTCCCCTCTAAGCATCAGTGACAATGGTAGGCAGTAACCCCAGTATTCTGGCCCTTGGGCTACACGCCAAGGAGCCCTGCTGCTGAGTGTCCTCAAAGGCCAGAGGATGCTTTCACATGTCTACAAATGGAGGTAAACAAACTTTTCTGCAGTTTAAAAGTATAACTAAATTCTTTGAGAATACGTATACTTAATAAATGCTAAAAGGATGAGTATTTACAATTTTTTAAGAAGTGATCTGTGTGCCTGAAGAATTTGGAGACCTATCAGCCAGTTTAGTCTGTCTGAACTATAGGTGGGCATTCCACTGGGGGATTGTCAAAAACTCAACTTTAGTGTGCCCAAATAAGCACAATATTTCATCTTTTCCTCTTCTAGATTCCCAAATCAACTCAACTTCCTCAGTTCTCTGATTTGCACCACTACTTTTACAGTTCTCTTTAATAAGAGTGGAATTCATCGTTTTTTCCTCCCCCTTCCCCAAAATCAAAAGTCCTTAGTCTAGTCACTCCTTTTCTGTCTCAAAAGCTCCTAATTCTGGTTTTCACAATTTCTTGACTAAACTTTGACCATAATTTCCTCACCTTCAATGTATACTGGACCACAATGCTAACTTTGGGTTACCTCCCCCCTGTTCCTGCACCCCTTTTTGTGACACCAGCAATGTCTGACTTTCCACTCATCTGTGCAAATCTCCCCACTCCTTAGACAAGGAAACCCAAACCACTCACACAGGCACCCACACCCTGCCCTTCCTCTCATGCTGGCTGGCTCCCCCATTGCTCCTCCAATTGCCTTCCTCTTCCTTGCCCCATGCCAGATACCCTCCTTCTCTACAACCCCCACCTTTCCCACAAAGCCTTTTTCCACCTCTTTGGAGATAAGAGCTCTCCCCTCATCAGAACCCCCCAATCCTTCCCTCTCCTCTAACCTTTCTTCTCCCCTCTCTCAAATATACTAGGCCAGTTCAAGGGACACAGAAGAAACATGGCTCCTCAGAAAGAACCAGGAGGAAGGAGGCAGACCAGCACCATATATGTAAGCTGTGACAAATGCTACACAACATCTCACACAAAAGGAACCACAGAGCAAACATGACCTAACCTAGCTCTGCAGAACAAGGTACTTTTAGGTTATACACACCCCAGCACAGGAATTAGGTCT